GGGGATCAGGGCTTTGCACATGTCCCACTGGGGCCGGGCTGCGAACTGCCAAACGCAATCAGCCCCACCCCCTGCCCAAAATCTGCTCCGCGCCCCCCAGTCCTGCCCCGCCCCCCCCAGACGGGGGTCAGAGCCCCGGCGAGCAGCCGCCTGCGACGGTACCTGGCGATGGGCAGGGGCTCTGTGACGCAGTCCTGGAGCTGCGGCCCGAGGCACCTGCGGGAGACAGAACCCGCCGATCACCCCACGGACGGACAGACAGACAGAGGGGAGCCACGGAGAGCACCAGGCTTATGGGAAAGATGTCAGAGCGGGGGGCGGGGGGAGGGTGGCAGGACTCCTGGGTTCTCTCCCCGGTTCTGGGAGGGGAGCGGGGGCTGGTGGTTAGAGCAGGGGGGTTGGGAGCCAGGACGCCTGGGTTCTCTCCCCAGTTCTAGGCGGGGAGTGGGGTCTAGTAGTTAGAGCAGGAGGTTGGGAGCCAGGACGCCTGGGTTCTCTCCCTGGCCCTGGGAACCACAGGCACGCCCAGCACAGACGCCGCTGCCAGTCACTCGGGGGCTGCGCCTCCCCAGGCAGGGGCTGGAAGTGTCAGGTCCAGGAGCCTGGGTTCCCCTCTCAGAGCCCCCCCAATTGGCTCAGGAGCCGAACCTGGGGTTCGGCCGCAGTTCCTCCCCCACTCCAAGCCTCAGGCCCGGGGGCACCGGCTGCTGCTGGGGGGGAGGGGGCAGAGAGGGAGGGTCCTTTCCCCTTTCCCCGCCTTGCCAGGCTGCAGGACTGCCCCCCCCAGCTGTGCCCGGGGGGGCTGCTGCTCTCACCCCCGTGTGCAGTTCTCGTGGCACGGGCGGCACTCGTGGTGGGCGTCCGGGTACTTGTAGATGGGCCCCTGCTCGCCCAGGAGGCCCTCGGGGCAGCTGTCCACGCAGTGGGGCCCGTCCTTGTACCGGGCACATCGCACGCAGGCGTCCGCACCCTGGGGGGCCAGACAGCGTCAGAAGGGGGCTGGGACGGACCCCTCCCCCGCCAGCACCCACAACCCCCTCTGGCGCCCCCTGCCGGGGAAAGGCCCCATGTCCCGTCCCCGACCTGGGGCCGGATGGGAGCCAGGGACCCCTAGAGGGGAAAGGCCCCAACTCCATTCCCAGCCCCCCTGAGCCAGCCAGTCCCCCACCCTGGGGCCGGATCAGGGCCGGCGCCCCCTAGAGGGGAAAGGCCCCAGGCTCCAGGCCCCATTCCCAGCCCCCCTGAGCCAGCCCGTCCCCGCCCTGGTGCCCGAGAGGAGAAAGGCCGGGGGCCGGGGGGGGGGGTCACCACACCGAGCCGTTGCAGGTCAGGTTGCCCTCCATCCTCTCGCACTCCGGGTGGCACTGGTAGCACGCACCCCCACGGGCATATTCCCGGATCGCCCTGCACAACAAAGTGAGGGGGGGGGTCACTAACGCTGCCCCCGAGGGTCTCGTATTCTCCTGCCCCCCCAGCTCCCCC